AACTAATATTTTTAAATATAATAGTTAATTATTTTAAAAAAATTAATAACAATTATCATTCAAGCTGGAAAAAATGCTCGAGTTACCTTGACAAAATCATGATACCAAAGCCGTGAGGTCGGTCCAGCCCTCTGCTACGTGGGTCCTTCTCTTGCGTGGATGCAACTATACTCTGCCGTCCGGACCCCACCTCTGCAGCTCGCAAAAGACTCGCGCCTGCCATTCAAAAACTCGCCCGGATAAGAATCCGGTAGGTAGGTAGGAGGGTATAGTGTGTACAAGGGGATTATAGTGGTAGGGACCATATGTTGGAATTGATTTTGGATGGTGATCTGTTTTGAATGGTACAGTAATGTATATTTTTTTCCTTAGTGTTGGTTGATGGTTTGTGATGATGTGGACCTGTAATGATGGCTGGGGACACATTTACTGACAGAGACACACTAGGATCTCTTGTCCTTTTGCATCTTCATTCATATCCTTCGTTCCATAATGCATATTCACAGCCCACCATGGAATTTGCTTTGCTGCCACACCGTGGTCCATTTGGGAACATTTTTTTTTCTTTTCTTGTATTGTCTCATTCATGAACTCAATTATATTTTTGGAGAGGAAAGCATATGGAAATTATCTATAACATCTTATTTAAATTTTCTTCTGGCAAAGAAAATTATTTTTAAGGTCTCATTGAGCAAGAAAATGAATAGTCATGGGGCAGAGGAGGATTGGTTCTGATCCTATTGAAAATGAAAGAGCAGCAAAAATATTCATTGATAATGTAGGGGGTGGCTTGCACTTGCATGAGGACCATGCCCACCCTACTAGTTGATCTTTTAAGAACGGTTAGGGTGGTAACTTGAGGGTTGGGAATTGTATGAGTTAATGTCTCTCTTACTCTCTTACAAAGCTAGAAAACTAGATAAATAGAGGAGAATGTTGAAGAAGCTTATGATATTCAAAGTAACTTTCTTTTTACAATTATTCTGTAGTTTTATTTATGTTTATATAGTGATTGCATATGCAATAAGTACTCATAAATAACTTTTTTTAATTAATTATTCATATTTGATATGGTTATAATTTAAATATATTATAAGTGCTATAAGTTATGTCTTTGTTTTTGAACTTTAATGTCATAACGTAGAAATATAATGTAATTTTTCTATTTGTCAATAACCTTTTTATTTAAAAAAAAAAAAGTTTCTTCATAAAGTTGCATTAAAATTATATTTTGAGTCAAAATTGAAAATGAAATTTTGAAGAGAATTCATAATTGTCAACTACCACATCCGAGCGTCTTTGGTTCGTAAATCAGCATTAGTTGAACTTTCTAAATTGTATGATGTAACTTTTAAATTGTGGTTCAATTAAACATAGTTATAAATCCATATCCTCATGTCACAGCAAAATAATAATACTCATCTGACGTAAATAAATACGTATAATTCTATTAGTCAACCAATAAATAAGTATTCAATTAATAATGTGCATTAATTATTTTTGTTCTTACTTCTAAATGCTAACCGTTTGCAGGGAAAAGCGTTATCCTTCTAAGTGTACGTCTAGTAGACTATGGCTTCAACAATGACTCAAATTTCAAAATCCTCATTGCCCTTTTTCGAAGTTCCAAAAATAGAAACAATATAATAAAAGACCTTGATGCATCTATCTTTGATTCAATATATTAATTAAAAATTATTATTATTTAGTTTAAAATTAAAAATAAAAAAATTAAAAATACAAAATTTAAATACTAAGCTAATAAATGTTTTGAACGAAATAATATACTAATTTTTTTTTATAATAAAATGTGAACTATTCAATAAAAAAAAAAAAAAGATTGATAACAGCATCATCGGCGTAGTGGTAATTTGTTAAAAGCGAAAAGTACTAACTGAGCTAGTTAAGAAATATGTTAAGAGGGAAGAGAAAAGAGAGAATTATTATTTATTATATAAAATAAAATAAAATAAAATAATCACATATTCACATTTCCCTAAGCATTGCTTTCTCTTAATTTTTCAAAGGTTTCTAGGTTAGCCTGAGAATTTTGATTTTTGCTTCTTTCTTTATTTACAATCAGCTCCATGTCTAGTTGCTATATAGTTAGTACTAGCTACTAGTTCGTACATCACACATTTATGTTGACTGCCTTACTTAACACCACACAAGTAAGTAGACATTATTATTGTACACACAATTCCCACATGCAGCCCACTCATTACATATGATCAAGCAATCAAGCAATCAAGCAATCAAGCAATCAAGCAAACCTTAATCAATATGGGTAAACAACTTAGCTCTTGTTTTTCTTGGGTATGGTATTTATATACCACCATTCATGGGCCAAGATTCTTGGACGACTGGCGGCAAAATCAATGTAGTTCCAACCAAAATTCTACCTTGTCATTACATATGTCAGAACATGGAAAATATAAACAAATAATGATTGATTTCCCCACTAAGATTTCCTTTGGATCCTACTAGAGTACTATGAAAATTTCTTGGCTTTGGCTACAACCCAGATATATAATATATTCAACTTCAAAAATCAGATTAGGGATTGATTGGCAATTGGAATACAACTAGTAATTTGATTTGATTATAATCATAATTACTTTAAGGGTTGTGGTGGGAACAGGGCATGCAGAAGTGGGGCCGTATGGACACATAATAGGGGTCAGTCAGGGTATTTGACCAGTCAAATTTACAAACCAGTCAAAGAACATGTTAAATAGATATAAATAAAATCATTTTTTTGATAAAAAAAGAAAAGAAAAGAAAAGAAAAGAAAAGTGAAAGTAGAATGGAAAACTGTGCCTGGAGGCCAGAGCATCTCCAGTTGAGAAAAGAATCAGACATTCCCGTTCCAAAGAATGTCTATGTCTCGGCCAGATCAGAATTTCCCTCCTATAATTGTGTTCTGTCATATGCGTTCATGTCCATCCATAGGTATAATTCAGGCTCTTGCACTCTGATCCATTGCCTGCCTTACTTAATGTTTGAAAAGTTTCCAATTTTTGGTGTTTTTATCATTTTATAAACTCTTCCATATTCATGTAAAAATTTGAACCTGAGATGTTGAACTTTAATATTTTAAGCTTTGTTGTAACGATTCAAGTTCATTTTTAATGCAAAACAGTATTTTTGTAGAAATTTACTTACCTTTCATGTTAGTAATTCATTGTAACATCAAACAAGTAGATTATATATTGATTCACATGTTCATATAGAGAGAAAATATATAATAATGTATGTAACAATGAGGCTATAATTATGTGACAAAGTACAAAAAAACATTGCAATAATAAAACAATGTGACTGAATCATTTGCTTAGGTTTTAACTTGCTGAAAGAAAATCATTTATTTATTTATTTTTATTTTGATAATCATGAGTTAAGAACTACTTATATATAAATTTTATGTATATCAATTACATAAAATTTTAATAATTTATCTTTTTATTGTAAATGATTGAAATTTATCATAATTTTTTAGATGAAAATGATAATTATTTTTTTTAAAAGGTAAAAAGTAAATAAATTTTAATAATTTATAATAGAGACAAATTACCAAAATTTTATGTAAAAGTTAGGTAATTAAATGAATCTTAACTTAATAATCATATATGTAATCATGTAGGACTAATTAAGTACTACTACAAATTTGAAGGAAAAAAAAGAAAAGAAAAGAAAAGAAAAAAAATACTACTACCAAACTTGTTTAGGTTTTAATATCAATTTTATCTATAAATTAATAATATACGTGATTTATATGGATTTTAATTTTACAAAAGTCACCTTTAATTAATACAGTATACTACTAAAAAAATAACATAAATGAAGAAAATGTGAAGATTATTATAATGCAAATTGAAAACCTCGTATTGCAAGTGTGAATGAGATCAAAATTGAAGATTTACAAAGAGAAAACATGACTTTTAAAATAAGAGAATGAAGTGAAACGAGGAAAACGATAGTGGGCGAATGTTGTTCGAAGCTGCGCTGCGTGGGACCCAGAGGCAAAGGCAAAAAGTAAACAAGTGGGGACAGTACAGATTGAGCGGTCGGTGGAGTTGGGCCCACTAGACCCGTTGTCAGATAGTCTGACCGAACACGTGGCACGTGGAATGCTGCTACGAGACGAATATTTGGTCTTACGAGGAAAGAAGCCCCGAACACAACGTCCCAACCCAACCATCGAACGTTAACGTTGCATACCAATGTATGGTAACAAGACATTTAAAATCTCAGTCAATGTCGATAACCCCAGCAGAGGGTCGGTGGCTCTGTCCATCTCCGGGGACCCACGTCGTTCTCCTCCCTCTTGAAGCAAAGCACAACTCCACTTGGTTTCCCAAAATTCCAATTTACTTTGCTTGTGGAATTTGAAATTGGCGAAGATGCCAAGGGCACTTGAATTGTAGAAGAGAGAGTGACAATAGATGTAATTATTTCACATAAAATAATGATTCAACGGACGAAAACACGGGACAAAAACGCGAGACAACAGTGATACAAAAGGGTCAAATTAGTAATTGCACCACATACATTAATCTTGCATCATTATCATCCCGCGTTTTCATCCGCTGAATCATTACTCTTTCACATATTTGTTGCATTAGAGACGTGAGATGTTCCGGACAAGTTTTGTGTTATAGTACTAAGAAACCTAGGCATTGATAAAGATTACGACTTGCCAACTAATTTGTTAAGATTATTGATAATTGTTAAATTTTTATTTTAATTTAATTATTAAAAATAATTAATAATTAATAAAATAATTAATATTTAACATTTATCAGATTAAAATTAATTTTTATACAAATATTTCTAAATATTATATTAACTGTTTAAAAAAATCATAAATTAATAAAATAACAAATAAATTGGTGGCTTTTGTAATTTAAATGGTGGCAATAAACTAGCATTTAGACATTGACTAAATAAGTATTGATAAGGTTGCTCGATGACATTTTAAATGTTATTTATAAAAAAACAAAGAATAAATGAGTACAAAGAATCTATCCCAACAATGATACATTGGAGTCTCTTAGCTTGTTTATTTTATTAGATTTAATATATACAATCTTATTTCATAATAAATTTACAATTAATAGTCAGTTTAAAAAAAATTTAAAAAAAATCAGATAGTGTATATGATTAAATTATATATACACTAATGATAAAACCAATAAAAGTTTAATTGAATTAATATCTATTAATTTAAAATTTTTAATTTGAAATCAAGATTAGAACTTCAAATTTTTACATTGTTGTTGGAATTAGGCCCAACACCCACTTCAGGCCACATGCAGCAGGCTTAATTATACACCCATTGGCTCAAGATGAGGAGACATGCCCACGTGGGCAGTAACACGTGGACCAATCAGGTGAATACATGTTTGAACTCATGTCAGCACTGGAAGCTATAAATACCCCCAACTACCTCCATGCAATATATTAACTCTTCTACGTCTCTCTCTGCAATTACTCTTTGAGAGCATCTCTCTCTAGAACATTGAGTATTGTTGACTTAAGCATTAAAGTGTTTTCCCCAAGGAAACACCATCGGGATTTTCAGGTGTAAAAGCAGTTAAGGACTTTAACAGTGTTGGATCGTGAAGCTGCCCAAACAATTGTCAAGTAATTAATCCTTTGATAAAAAAAAAAAAAAAACCGCCAATGACAAAACCATACCAAACTAAAAAAAAAAAAAAAAAAACCGCCAATGACAAAACCATACCAAACTCCGCACCGAACGATTATACAATGTTACGGAAATTTGAGACTCTATTATGATCTGTACATGAGTTGTTTCTCTTATTCGACAACATAATTTCGAAAGTGATTTATTAACAACATGACACAACAGTTTTTATTGACCCTTCACTTGACAATGTAAATCTGTATGCATCTAC